CGAGATCTAAACATTCCCTCAGCGTTTGTCTCGAGTCGTCACTCTGGGCAGGAGATGCTGCCTTTATACGGCGGATTCATATGTTTTCCTCATAACTTCTGATTGTGAAGCCTCAAAACTTTCTGCTCAAGCGACCGCATCCAGCAAGGACTAAATTCCTATATTAAAATCCCTTAACTTAAGTTATCCTGGCTGTTTTCATCTTCTGTCCTATCCCTGGCCTTAAAATTTATCTCAATATCAGAATTACGTGGATGATTTTATGATTTGTGTATTTGTATTATAAACCCCACAGCAGAGAGATGAGGCTTTTACAGACTAGTGCATGTTGCTGTCCCCCATGAACACTGCACGGATCTTAGTACACACATCGGGCTCCTTTGCCATCACCTTCGGGGTCACCCTTGGGGAGCACCGGCTGGCAGTCAGCACTCAAGTCGGAAACCAAAAGAGACCTTCATCTGACATTTGCTCCGAGGTCAGTGAATGAAGGCGAGTAGGGGCCAAAGTCGTAATTGACCATTTAGATCCTGGTCCTTCAAGAACAGAATTTGTTTCTCTCTTGAGCCTGTGTTTGTGTGCTGACGGGAGGAGGTTCAGTGATTCACGACTGAGCCCACAGGCAGGTCAGGCTAGGAGACAGGCCCTGAGCAGGGGGCTGCACGGCCCCCATGGTCCAGCAGCTGTGGGCAGCGAGAGTCGGAGTCACAGGAGCTGACATGTCAGAGGAGGGAGCATCAGGGATTGCCCCCCATTCTCTGGCTGTTTGCCCTTACCTGCTTGGGGTAAGGCCGCCTGGAATACAGTGTCTCTGAAGTGGGGTCATCTGCCCGTACCCTGACCAGAGGACCTGCTGACCCTCAGCCCCAGATGTCTCTCTTATGAGTCACCAGATCAAGGAGGAGATATATGAGCTCCTGTCAACATGATCAGAGAACCAAATGGGGGTTCCCCATGGAGAGAGGCCTGGTGGCTGTGCAGAGCCAAGTAGTAACTGAGTAC